CTCCGGAACACCCCGCCCCGCGAACGCCCGCGGCGGTACTCCCAGCTGCTGGGGTCTCTTGGCTGGGTCAAAATGACGGAACAGAAAACCAAACCACACGTTGCCCTACAGAAAATGTGCCAGGAAAGCACGAAGCTTAGCTCCAAGACTGAGGAACCACTCAATCGTTTGTCACGGAGGACTTGCGGGCTGATGAGCCCCCAACATCATCCAGACGATCTCCTCCTGGCACCATCCAGGCAGAGCATCCCCCAAGGCAGCCGAGCGAGGGCATCCCCTTCATCCCATCAGGAATCCCTTGTCCACCTGCACACCTGCCACTTCCCTGAGGAAGCTTGCCGCCCCACACACCAGCTCACATTTCTGTGCCGATTAGAAACAACATTACGGCCTACGACCTCTGGTCTGCGTTACAGCAGCTGCCCTGTGGGCAGAATTAACCTCTCCACAGCTTTCAGCCACCCTGTTCCAACAAGACCTACCGACGGTGCCGCTGACACACGCACGGGTCCCATGTACGGCCATCACGGATACGGTTCCCATCACCAGCACAGGCAATCCACTGCCTAAACCAAGGGAAAGGGAAAGATAATCTGTAACACAACCACCAGACTGAGAAACAGCACCTTGAAGGCTCTTTTCCAAACTTTCTGCATTCCCAGAAATAGAGGCCATGGGGTGACCTAGAGACTTTTGTGCGTCTGTGACTATTGAAGCCTTGGCACCGACACGCTAGTTACCTCCTTCTTGGTAGCACAACAGACTGCGTTTCACTGCTGAATGCTTATTCTTCACTGCAGTTGATGTGACAACCACAGCTTTGACTCAGCGGTGGGGCTCTGGCCAGCTTTAAGGGAGCATCTAGGAGTGTCTGCCCACAAGATATCCAGGCCTTCTCTATAGCACGTTCCTGGAAATGGGGAATGTTTTTGCTATTTGTGCACCACCTCGTATGCGAGGACTCTGCCCGCTGCTGGAGTTCTCAAGACTAGGGCACTGCATCGTGGCACTGCAGTACAGAAACGCTGCGCCCGTCCAGTGCGAGAGCAAAGGTTTGGCTGCCCTCGTCAGCCCCTTGTTTATTTGTGACCTGCCACCCGCTCGCTGCCTTATGCGGCACCCGGTTTCGGCACTGAAAAAGCCCGTGAGCAGTCATTCCTTATTCACCTCTGTCCTCGCAGGGTTGCACACACCTGCACCATTGCTCTTCCAGGCTGGCAAGTTCTCAGCCATGTAACAACACCTCCAGGCGTCTTCCCGTAACTTCCATTATTCTCGTCATCCCTCCTCAAGCCTTTCCCAGGTGTAACTCCAGCCAGGCACCAAGCGTCATCTGCAAAGAGCCAGGAGGGAGAATGGGCAAAGAAATAACACTGCACTTCACACCTACAGCCATGCCTTCCTGTCACCTCCAAGAGCCCACAACACCGATGTGGAAGCAGCCGGGATAATGCCGGAGAAGCTGTACAGCAACTGAAACACCTCTCCACCTACGCGGGAGCAGAGGATGCCAGCAAAGTTAACTCCAGTGGTAGCATCTCCGAGAGTAATGCCCAGTTTTCTGCAGGGCACCTGGAAGGAGCTCTGTAAGGTTTTACGGCACAACGACCCAATCCCAAGGGTCACCCCCCTTCCCCAGCCTGTACACCCCCGCCAAAGAGAACCTGCTGAGTGCCGGCTACTGCCAGCACGCTTTGCTGTCACTCAGCAGCTGTGGTGTCCTGCCTGCAGCCAGGAAGTTTGTCCTGACACACACAGTTCATTTCAGAGCCCAGAAGAAATGAGAGAGTCAATTCCAACTTCCACATAAACCTTTTCCCAGGCAACAGAGAAGGATACCCCATAGCAAAGACCCCTGATGCTAGACATGCCCAGGAAGAGCACCATCCAGTTACTGAGAGAAAAGCCAAAGGATTCACTGACTTATTTAGACCTGGAGACCACTCTCTGCCCAATCATCTGCTGTCCTAGTCACAGCCTTCCAAGAAGGAAAAACCCATTTCTGACAAAAGGATATCATATTATCCCATTATTACCTGCCAGATTTGTTCAGGGCTTTTTTTTTTTTTTAAAAAAGCACCCTGAAAGTGCTTTTTTCTCCATAATACGGATCATTTGAGAAAGAAAGTACGACCATTTATGCCAAACTTAACTTTATTTCTTTATTTTACAAACAAAAAATATACATTTATTCTATATTTTCTCTCTTTGCATCTCACACACACACGTAACACACTTCTGCTCAAGGACCACCGTGAATGTGGCCCAAAGCATTATATGCACACAAAAATACAACGAGAGGACGGCCAGTCCATGATCTAGCACAGAAGCTCCTCAGCAGCAGAACATGGGACACTCCAGAAATACTGGAGTCCTGCCAGCAAAGGACAGGATGGGCATGTCGACCACCTGCACAGGTGATCCTTCAGCACTGAATTCAGCTGGTAAAAAGGCGAATTCATAGCCTGCTCTTCACATCACCAAGGAGGACAGGTAAGTCCTCTCGGTCAGGGTCGAGTCAGCAAATGCTCCTCAGGACAGAAAAGCAGTTGCTCCTTTATTTCTCAACTGCTAAAAGACCTTCATATTTCTCGGCTCTGTCCAAGGCCCACGCACTCCAGGGAAGCTCTGGAGGTTTCCCCACGCTTTCTATCAGCAGCTCAGGACCAGCGCTGTGAGCAGCACTAGGAGCAGCAGCAGGGAGACTCCGGCACCATGTCATCCACCCCTTGTTGAGCAAGCGAGCGAGCGAGGCTCAGCTGATTCACAGCAGCAACAGGAAGACTGCGGAACCTCTCTAGTGTGGCACGGGCTGACTTGGCCAGCCCTTACACAGTCATTGCATGGAGGGGAAATGTGAAAGGCCGTTGACCCACAAGACAATTCAGCTCTTGCACATGGACAAACAGAAGCCTTTTTTCCCTCAAAAGTAATTTAAAAAAAAAAAAAAAAGAAGGGGTTTTGTTTGTTTTCCGGGTGCCAACGCTACTTAGAGGCCTGCAGGGCAAAGTCCACAGGCAGAACAGAGAGGCTGCATTGCTCATTAACAAAGAAAGATAAGCAGAGGGCCTGCATAGTTTTGGCAACCAAGATGAACTTCACGTTCTTATCCAAACTCTCCCAATGGTGGGAACCCCTGGTAGGAAATGCTTTCCCCTACCTGCTTGTGATCCAAACTCACACCCCCACACTGCACCCTGCATGACCATTTCCCAGAAACTCTTACCTCGTTACTCTTCAGGAACAGCAGTGGGTTGGGGCCAGATTCACACAGTCCCCAAATCCAAACTCCCTCTTTCTACCATCTCCAATGCAGAGTTGCTATTGCTTATAGCAGATGTCCACCTACCTGGAGGACTCAGGTAGGAAAGCACCCCCAAAGCTAGAGGAATACACCTCTTCATCCTTGGAAAGCACAGTATGTCCCAGAAACCAATCTGATGTAGGTTTCAGCTGATCAGTCCCTGGATTGGAACATGTCTTGAAACTGTGTGCCAGACAGCTCAGACAACAGCAGTCCCTTTCCCAGCATGGAGGAGGTTCATAAGAAGTTCCAGAGTCTTTAAACGAACCACACTCCACATGCATGTAAGTATTTTCAACATATCGAGCCATAAACCTCTTCAGACCAGCAGAAGTCTGGGGATCTGAACTGCAACACAAGAGAAGGACACTGCCAGAGAAACACGTCCATCTCCCACTTGTCTCCCAATGCAGAACAGCAGCCAGCTTAGTTCTAGCACACCTATGGTGTTTGAGTTTCCAGTCACTAAATACTCGACAGCTCAGACTCATCATGGGCTTCTGCTCTGCCTCAAGCACCTGAACGTCTGTGGAGCCTTCATCTGCAGAGTCAGCTTCCTCCTTCACAGCACTCTCCAAGACCCTGCCAGAGCCATGAACCAGGATGCAGATGGAAAATGCACCTGCCTCACAGGATTTAGTCTTGAAACTCAGCCCTGATTCAGTGTTGTTACCTAGATTTTTTTCCTGTGAGCTCAAATGCACAACAGTACATCCTCCACAGAGAGTTTCACAGCTACTTCTGCTCAGCCGGATGGCTGCAGTCTGTCCTTCTGTCTCCCTGTCATCCAGTCAGTTCACATCCATGCTGATAGCTACCAGCCGTATAAAATGCTCCCAGGGCACAGAGAACACTTCATTCCTCTTCACACCTCTCCCCACACAATCAGAACACTCCTTTTAACCCCTAGCAACAGCAATTCATGATTTTCATCAGTATTAGCTGAAACCAGAGATGGGCCCAGCTGACCAGCTTCCCTCTTCAGACACTGCTATTGCCACCTACGCTGTTGCACTGACAAGACCCAGGCAAACATGCTGCTTGAAAAAGTCCAGGAAGGCTATCTTTGGTTTCAACCACCAAACTCTCTATACATGTACAACACAAATCAAATCAACACCCTCAACCCTAAATGCCATTCCCATAATTGGCAGACAAGTGCTTTTAGTCATTGAAAAGGAAGAGGTAACAGTCAGGCCTGTCTTCTGGGTGATATGCACATCTGGAACACGGAGGATCAGGGAGGTTCAGTGTTTATATGCTTGTGAACAAAACTGTTCTACATTGTTCTCATGTAGCGACAGAAAGTGTTCTTTCCAGCAGGATTCTGGCTGTCAACTTAGCTCCACAATAGGTTTCAGAAATCCTAAGGAAGAGAGGAAAGCCATGGCAGATAGCCAAGGACAGATTTCCAATGGCCATCCTAATAGCCATGGTATCAGGGAGTTTGGCAGGAAAGGAACGAGGCATTGTGTGACGTGGGTGGCCCTGCCTTAGGCATTGATGGCTTTCCAGCGGTCGCTGTCTATGCTGTTGACGCTGCCCACGTGATACGGCATAGAGGCCACGTCATCCAGGTAGGCTGTGGTGTCGATCTGAGTGCTCGAGTAGAACCCAGAATCCATTCCTTCCTTCTTAGCAACAGCATAAGGGTGGGGTAGGTGCACATCCACATCCTCAGGTTCATCCACCTGACATTTGTAGGAGAAAAGGATCTTCGGTTCAGACCTGGGACAATTGAAGATGTAAAATATATGTTTAAGCAAGGTAGTATCACAGCCACTTATCGTTAACTGAAACTCAGCAGCACTAAGAAGTTGTGTATTCAGACCCTGAAAACTCTTCACACTACTTTATGTTCTTAGTTACTCTAAAGCCTGCTGTTTCTTGCTTATGGGCGGCAGGAGCTAAAGCCCACACTAAACCACTCGAGCTTTCCTACCAAGCTGCATCTCCTCCGAGTGGCCACACGGCGGCAACCCCGACCCAGGAATCACACCCTGAGGGCTTCGACCTAGTAACTCTTTGGCCCATCACTGAGGAGTCCTCAGCCAAACTGTTCTCTGACCCCTAGATCCTCTCTACAATTCTATCCCCAAACCCACCCAGGAGACCATTTAATCTCCCGGGACTCAGTCTCTAACTAACCAATTAGTTAGCAACTTCAGCAGCAAAACTCTGTACTAAACAGGACGCAGACACTGAAGAAGTGATCCTCAAACATTTGAGAGGAGCATCACTATCAGCTCTACTTGGCATACAAAGGAGTCTTGGACAGAAGCAAGCAGCCCTGGGTCACACAAGAAAAACTGCAAAGCCAGAAATTAAAAAATGGTTCCCTAAGTGGCATTCTAGTCCCTGCCTTCATTCTACAGATGGGGAGAACCTGGGTGCAGAGCAATGAAATGGCAATATATACCCTCTAAACTCCATTCCTGGCTACTCACCCGAAGAAGCCTTTCAGGAACGCCACATAGATGAGAGGTGCGAAGAAGCTGAAGTAAAGGAACGTGGTAGCATCGACACAGCTGTCAACAACAAAAGGGAACATGAAGGATTTTAGCACTCAAGCACAATACAGCTGGATAACACCCACAACAACCCCCCAGAATGATCCCATTTCTCTCCAGGGTGTCCATGCAGAGGACAAGTCTTGTGCTAAACAAACTCAAACCGATGCAAAGTAATGTACATTGCGACCAACTTGTCACAGCTCCCAGACACTCACAAGGGAACCATGCCACGACCCAAGGTCTGAGCAAAAGCAGAGTCCTACTGCTCCCAATTTTGACTCACAGAAGTAACAGTGGTCCCTGCAGAATGACACTCCAGATAGGAATAAAGCATCTCCATGCTCTTTCTAGCAAACAGACTATTTCGCCCCTTATTACCTATGAAACGCGAGCCAGTGGCCAGGCATCAGTGGGTTCAAACTCACTACTTCAAGACCACTGCAGAGCCTGCAGCTCCACAGACCTCTCCACTGTGAGCTTCCTGACCACTTCAGAGGCCTTCTGGCACAAAACAGTGTTACTCCTTCTTAGGAGCACAGGACAAGTTTGTTTCCTTGGGAGAGGTAGTGTTGAAAGACACTCAGATGCAACACAATGAACTGGGCTGCAGATCTCCTCCCCAGCGTACGTACCACAGTCCTTCTATGATATCCACACAGAGCAGGGCACTGCCCAGGCCCTGCACCAGGTTCAGAGGCCTTCTGGCACAAAACAGTGTTACTCCTTCTTAGGAGCACAGGACAAGTTTGTTTCCTTGGGAGAGGTAGTGTTGAAAGACACTCAGATGCAACACAATGAACTGGGCTGCAGATCTCCTCCCCAGCGTACGTACCACAGTCCTTCTATGATATCCACACAGAGCAGGGCACTGCCCAGGCCCTGCACCAGGTTCAGCAACATAAAAACTCTTCCTGGCTGTGGAGAAGACATGGACACAGAGGAAGCTTATAACCTCATAAACACCAGCCCGGTGCAAATCTGTTTGATGGAGACGGCATCTCATCATCTTGTCTGTTTAAGAATTCCCGAAGAATTAAAATTGCCTTTTCCTGTCCCATGCTGGCAGGGCTGCTGGAGGTATAGCAACCAAGTTATACCCCCCTGCACGTGTACACACACAGGGGTTTTGATAACACATGGTCATGGCAACACATGCAAAGATTTTCTTGACAAGCACTGGAACCAGTGTCAGTCACACAGCTGAATGTAAGAAAAACAAACAAAACCCCCACAGCTGAACCAGAAACTGCCCTTCCGACACAGAGCACAAACAAAACTGCTCAGGAGACCTGGACAGGAGCAGCAGGGTATGCTGGACATCAGGCAGATCAGGCCCAGGACCATGCTTGTGGCACGTGCCACATATCCTCTCCCTCAGGGTACCCACATACACATCTCTTCTACTTAGAGAGAGAACAGCCCAATGCAAACCCCTTAGTAACAGCTCTCTCCCTAATCAAGAACTGCAGATAATCTGCAACAAAAAATAGAAGAAACATCTTAATAAAGTAAATGCCCAGATAAAAATTATTAAGCACCTCCCAATCAGTCCTTCTTTCCCAGGGGATGGCCAGCATGTTCACTTTAACATCACATATGCATTTCAAAGCAAGCTGTTATTAATAAGCCACTTCTTATGGCTCTCTGAAGATTATATACTGATGTTACAGCTGTATCATCAACTGTGCAGTAAATCTTGTTTTCTTAATGTAATTGTTTAGCTACTGTAATTGCTCTTACTCTTCACTCCAAAAGGGATAACTTCTCAGTCCTTTGCCACGTATCTGTGCCCTGAGACAGTGGGATGTATCTGCAGCGCAACCAGATACAGGACCTCTTATTCCCATATACGCTTTACCGTGGCACTGTCTCCATCTGTACTACAGAGCACACGACAGTCACTTACAGGGCAAAGAAATCCGGTCTTTCAGAGGAGTTTTTGGAAGAATCACCACCAAGGAATAGACCTGTGGGGACAAAGAACTGACTGTTCCATGGCTGCTGGCAACTGAACACAACGATCTTTGCAGGGATGGTGTGTGGTGTCACGCACTCCCTAGATGCCTTGGGACAGAGGCACAGGCCTCTGATGTTAAACCTGGTGCAGATGTGAAGGCCTCACACCTCACCATCAGCAGCACAAGGCTGGTCATGGAGAAACAAGGGAGCCAAAAACATCTGAATTCAGCTGGAATTCAGCTGCCATAGCTTACTCCACTCCTACCACACCTTCATTGCTCCAGCTTCCCTGCCTCACGAGAGGCATCAGTGCTGCCTTGTATCAGGCAGGAGCGGGACTAGAACCTTATTACACACAAATCATCTTCCTTGTCCCATTTAGAAAGAAAAAGCTACCAGAATGCGTAACACCTGCCCAGTGCTTACCAGAAAGAAGAAACAGGAGCTGGCAAGCCAAAAGTGTCTCCCTCCATGGCCATAGATGTTGAAATCTTCTGCTGAGAGGTGGGCATCAGGGTACAGGATTTCCAGGGTGCCCTAGGAGAGAAGTGGCACCAACATGGTGCTGTTACCGGCAGCACCCTCACTCATGTGGGTGTCGAGTGGGACAAAGGAGACTATGTTTGAAGAGGTGCAGAGAACAGCTGCCCCTGCCACCTAAGACCCAACCGCTGCTCCGCTTAGACCAAGTTAAGCTCACAAGAAGGGAGGGGAAAAAAGTGGCAGGAATCTGCACCTAAAGGAAACCAGCAATGACATTCTAGAAGAGAGGATGAATGAAAGGATAGCGGATGCAAGCAGTTGTCTGTTCAAAACAGACTGAGAGTTTAATTTCTACTTCCATCTCTAAAGCAGACTTTTCCTGCTAAGCCTGCACTTGTGCAAGAGTTGGGAAAGGACAGTGTCTCATTCACATGAATTCCTGAAAAATGGTATGAACAGGAACTACCATACAGTGGGGAGAGAAAAGTGCTTGTAAGCACTACTGAACCCACATACAGCTCAAGCACTTGATATTTAATGAGGCTCCTCCAGTATTATCATGTGGTAATGATCAGCTCACTGCCTCCACAAGCAAGAGCCTGGTCACCCAACAAAGATCCGTGTGTTATTCTGGTGCTGCCCCAAGCATAGAGGCACGGGGCTGACCACTCACATAGTGAGGAGAACAAACCCAGACACAGACTGCATTGTTCACAGGGATGGAGACACAGCTAATAAATTGAGCTAGCAAGCTGGCTGCTAGTTTGAAGGGAAGCAGGAGCTCTCAGGCAGAAGATAAGAGGTCAACTGCACTGCCCTTACCCAGCAAGCACACCTCAGGTCTCCTCATCCAGTTTGGACGGCCCTTGAGGCTAGATTCATTGAATCTAGATTCAAAACATGTGGCTCAGGTGTGGAAAAACTCTCACTCATGTTCCAAGATTCACTAAACAAGACAACCCATCTAAACCCGATCTCATTTCTTGACCTTGGCTGAGCCTTAAGGGGCCAGGGAGATACAGTCTGGTGTATGCTCTGGGTATCCTCATACATCACCACAAGCATCCAGTCTTCCCTCAAAACCTCATCCAACGGGTAAAGCACACAATTGCCAGACAGGAGCCCCACACCTAACTCCAAGCAAAGTCCCCTCTTTTGCAAAGACTTATTTTTCTGCTCCACTGTGCTCACCTGGGTGACAGAATATGCCAGAGACAGCACTGTAGTGATTGCCAGAACACGTTTCACACTCGACTTGCTCTCCAGGTGACCTGGAATTAAGGAATACAGAAGTGACTCAGGATGTGATCCCAGCCATGATAAAAACCAGTTCTCTCCAAAATCAATACAGGAAAACATTTGTATTTCCAGAGGCCTTGTAGGGAAGATTAAAGCTCACTCAATCGCTAGAAACTGCTTTCCTCTTTGGAGAGCTGAGCCTTTTGCAGACAAAATAATATTTACAAGACAGCAGGTGTTAACTTGTTTTCCTCCACCCACGCTAACACACAGAAAGCAACTAAGTCCTTCCACTGGGGTTACCAAAAAAGAGAGTCAGGAATGACTCCAGCATCATGTACACTGAAGTTTCTTCTCAGGAAAAAAAAAAAAAGTTGATGGGAGACCAGGTTAGAGTAGGGGAGAAGGGCTTACATAACATAGGTATCTGCACTGGAATGTGCTGGAGCAGACAATCTCTAGGAGCTCCCTCCAACCTATATTATTCTATGAGCCCTCAAAAGATGAAAGAACTAGTGCTCAGATGTCCCACTGGCAGATGTGAGTGACACCTACCAAGTTCCTCCTCTTCTAACCTCTGACCCACAGGAGGAGGTGCCCCAAACAGCATTTTCACTTGCACAACTGAAAAAAGTACAGTTACAGATTGCAGGTGCAGTTAAAGCATCTGAATGAAGCCAGGATGGAATCAAACCAATCAAGAAGGGGATAGAAGGACCCCCAAAGGAATCATCTTAAACAAAACGGGGTTGAAGCAAAGATCAAACAGTTGATCTTTGCATAAGTCTTCACCTAAGCAGTACACTCCACCACACGTACGGAGGACAAAGCACATATGAACCCTGAAATACACAATCCATAGAACTGTACTATCATCAGGCTTTCAGCCATTTCTAATTCAAACTTCTCGATTTGTCTTTTGTCTTTATTCTTGAGCTCCTTCACTTTACAGAATGAGCATTTCCACAAACTTACAGATGCAGCCTCTGTGGAAAAAAAGGGAATAGGAAACATTCAGGACACTCAAAAACCTCCTGACACGTACCAAAGGCAAGGCCTAGAATCACCACACTCAGTTCAATCGCCAGAAGGAAGAACCTTGTGATCTCCCACAGGATCTGAGGGATAACAGAAACCAGACAAACATGATTAGTAGGAGCCAGGAACCAGTCAGAAGTTGATACAGCAAACTCCACTCCCTGCTCCAGGGGATGGCAGCCTCTGAATTAAACAGGTCATTTCCACAAGCCTTCCTCATGCTTTGTAGGGATGCTAACTATATGCTTGTTTCAAGCCTCGTCCATGCCTGTGAAACAGTTGTGTGGGAGCAAGCAAACAGCATGCCTACAGAGAGAGGAAGGTTTGCCACATTTGAGGATCTGACACTTCCTTTGGAGGTGTTCTTCCTGCTGTGCTCCCAAGGAGTATGATCCCAAGATGACCCTGAAAGTGTAATATTAAACAGAGCCAGCTCTTGAAGCGGTAGATTCTGCAGTACAGTTATGACTGAACAAATTCAGCATTCTGCACTCCCCCAAAGCCACTGGTCCTCAAATCCAAAGCACATTCAACAAGAAAGCCCTCCCACTTCCAGCTTGCCATTCATTCCCATGTTTTCTTTGGTGAAACAAGACCAGAAAAGCAGCAGGTGAGGCAACTTTCCAGGCAGTCACACAATAGAACAGTGCCAAACCTAGAACAAGAACCCAGATTCTGGCTTAATAATCCTTTGCTTTCGAACACTGAATGGCACTCTCTTGAAGATGCACAGTATTTTAACAGGCGTTTGATGAGACACTTCTAATCTCAGAAAATATAGAGAGTGTGTGTGTATATATATGATAGAAAACAGAAGAAATAGACTTGACAGAACATGTGCTTACAGGAAAAATTGACAGAGTATCTGTCTTACTGCTTGACTTCCCCAGCAAGGTGCACTGAGCAGCAACACCAACAGAGCTGAAGAAAAGCACCTTCACCTCTTCTCCATTATTCAACTCCTGGACCTACATCTATTCAGCAGAGGTGAATGAAAATGCTACAAACATCCAGCCACTCACAACAAGCAGCGCATTAGAATGCTTTGACAGGTAATACTGAAGGGAAAAGCGAAAGGACCACACTGATCCAGAGAATAAAGCCAGAAGACCTGTACGCTGTGGGTGGCTGCTCTTCCTCAAGAATTAGAGCTTTTTGTTTTAGGTAATATTCTGCTACAAGTCAAATAACTATGGAGGAAGAGCACGTACAGAAGCTATTTCCTGTTTGCTAAGGGTTCACCCTGTGCTCAGAGTGGCTGCAAAGACGTTCAGGTATCAGGCTGAAAATACAAACAGAACGCAGAAGAATTAAATTTTTCAAACTGCTGCTCAACTACTGCAAAAGTAACATAGGCCAGGTCTTGCCTATCCACCAAAGGTATTCAAATGTTCAGCTCCTGCAAAGCAGAGTCATTCTGTCCTTGCGACAGGAAAACTTCACTGCCACTATTTGTGCATCTATTTTAGGAAGTCCATTGTTTTACAGCCCTGGATGTTGTGATCATTTAGAGACAGCTATCAGAACAGGATTCCATAGCACACATAGCTATGAGGACTGCAAAACACCCACATTCTTCTTGTGTGCACGTAAAAGGGAACCTGTAGCACATTGCTGTGGCCAGAGCAGCACCAAGCAGAGCCTCTACAATCAGTGTTGTACCTACCTTATCAGCAACCGTGGCAGCATCCGAGGCACTCACAGTCATGGAGACAACAGCACGGGCAATGCCAACTAAAGCCACCACAAACACCTACACAAGAAGATACCAAAAGTGAGCTCATGTCAAAAGGCACATATGCAGCAGTTACCAGAAATTCTTCTGGAATACCATTTCCAAGCCAGCTTTCAAGCCTGACTGTTGTACTAAGGATTTCCTGTAGCAGATTAATTTCCTGAAGAAGATTCCTCTGGTCTCTTAGATGTATTGGCTTAAAATCTAGGAATAAACAAATTTCTTCAACTGTCAGATTAAACAGCCCTGTAGAGGCCTCATTCACTCCTTAAACAGTAACTTTACAGGCAAAAAGTCTTCCCACCCTTCAGGCCACTGGGACAGGGAGGAGAAAAACCAGACAAAATAGATATCCCTCCAAGTTACAAGATCAAGCGCTTGGTATGACTGAATAAACCAATTGCATCAGATTAACAAAAGCCACTCGACACCAAATACCACACTTCAGATCTGTGATAAAACCACAATCTGCAGTTCTTTCCCTCAACACTGACAATGCTCAGGAGTGCAGAGTAAGTCAGCTGCAGCCAACAGCTTTAAAACATCTTACCCAGCTGCACAGCGCAGCAGATACCCAAGTCAACTCACGTACCATTTAAGCATGACAGCATGGAGCTCAGCAAGGCTAATTTACCGACTCCTGTGCTGTCACAGCCACACTACGCACTTAAGAGCTCAGCTGGGTATCTCTACTCTCCGCCATGCAGACCTACGCTTCATTTCCAGATAAAATTCCCCAAGTCACAGGCTAATTCTAATGATGCAGGTATGACATAGCTACGTTTATCAGAGAACGAAGAGAGTCCAGGCCAATTTCAAGGTGGCTGGAGAATGGAAATGACCAGTAAGCCACCTACAGCTGAATATTTTCTCCCAAGAAGAAGGGGTGCAAATGGCACGAAAGAACAACAATAAAACACTCACTTCTGGGGTGGAAAGTCCTGAGACAAAACACTGACAAAGAAGAAGGGTCCTGCATATAGTGGTCTTCTAGAGCAGCAACAACTGAGAGGAAAACACATCCTTTTTGCTTCCTCTCTAAATAAGCAGAGACTCTTCCCAATCTATTAATTTCACTTTAATCACTGACTCCACAAAAAGCATTCCTTCAAGACATGACAAACAGCCCTTTGAAAGGAAATCCTCACAGAATGCACTTCCATCCTCACTTCCCAATAACATACTCCAGAAGATCAAACTGAAGTGTTTTCCTTTAACGCTGTTTCTGCTTCTCACTCAGTTTTGAACGAGTCAACAGCACAGTCAGTTCACTTTTTTCCTTCCCTTTTGTTTTTTGCTTTTCAAAGCCTTTGGCATGAACTTTCTACTGAGCCATGTGCATTACTGGAAGCATAAAGGAAGATTTAAACCCAGATGGGAAATGGCTGGTAATATTTTTAAAAGTTTGGAGCATCTGTGTGTACACCTGGCTACCCAAGGTGTACACAAGTTACAAGTGCAGGACCTACACTCCAGGCCTGAAACAGCAAAGAAGACTTCCCACAAAAGAGTCTGTTGAGGCTACTAGCTCAGATCTGGGTTTGATGCTTGTTGGATTTTGCCATGCCGGTAGCTATATGCAGCCCAAAGAAGGATGCCCCCCACCTAACCCAATTCAAACACACATTTACTCCTACAACCTGTACTGATCCCATGACGGAAGAGCAAGCACATTACGCTACACCCAGAGGCAAGCCAGGATCCCAAAAAGCACCTGTGATAAAGCTTCTGAGTAATGTTTTATTATATAAGCAATATTATGTAAACAAATTCAGGTAGGTCCTTAGCTGCATTTACCATGCCCTATGAGCAGGGTAACAGTTAACAGATACAACATTCAGACATTACTAAAGAGAATACCTTAAGTTGATCAAAAGTTGCCCATGTCTTTTTAAAACTGGGGAGAAGGGAACACACAAGATCTTAGATGTCTGAGAACTGTAACTGTGCTGCCTATATATTCTGGTTCCACCTTAATAAGTATCAAGAACATCATCAAGTCAGCAGCCTCTTTGATATGATGGAAAAGAATCTAACATGGTTGGGTTTCTACATCCCCAGACAAAGCAGAACCTGCCACATCACCATTTTCTACAGCAGATGACCAAGCTTTATAACAACTTCACACAAGTTATTCTCCACTGTTTCACTTTCACTACCTCAGTGAGAAGCTGGCCTTGTGTCGCATGCTACTTACTGCAAGGAGAAATGAAAGTAAAAGATACTAGATTCCAAGACAACAAAGCAACAAAAGAAGAAAAAAGGAAAAAATAAATCACTACAGAAGAAAACCCACTCACATCCAGCAGATACAGTCCCAGAATCTGTGAAAAGCAGAATTTAGAGAGAGTGAAAAAACACCTGTGTCTACTTCTTGCAGTACACTGTCAACTAAAAATAGATTCTAGCCCTGTGAGACCTGGTCTAGGTGCTCTCCCCACTACTTCAGTGATACTGTTCATGAGTGGTAAAAAAAACCCTCACTCATCAGTTCAAATGTACAGAACGGTACTCACTAGTATGTAGAATGTAGTGAAGATTGGGCTGGAAGTGACACGGATTTTGGCCCTGGCAGAGGGCAGCTTCCAGAGAAGAAACATAAAGAAAAGCACATTGGGAACCAGGAGCAGAAGATCCCAGTAGCGGACCCTGCAAAAAGTAAATACAACAGGTTTTCTTTCCTGTTCTTCAGCAGCTAGAAAGCAAGGCACCAGCCCCAGTCCCTTCTCAACCACACTCAGAAAGAAAGCTCTTTCCCCTGGCCCAGGGTCAGACCATGGTCCCATTTCCTCAGTCTCACCTGGACTTCCCAATGTCCTCATAGAGCAACAGCAGGCACTTGTGAGGCACAGTGATGTTGGTGTCATTGACTGCCTGCGTTGCTGTTGGGGACAAAGTTGTCACGTTATCCAGTGCTGTCACCGGGGCAGCAGAATGTGTGATGTTGTCAGACACGGAGAATCTCCTCACAGACATCATGGACTGGAATATCCTGCCTTCCTTCTGGCCCAGGTCAAAACAGCGCAAGACAACCACTGCAGAGACAAAAAGCAACATTAGATCAGTTGTGAGTCAGAGCTAAAACAACACATCCCTGCCATTAGGCCCCTCCACAACTGCTTCCTGCTTGTTACAGAAAATTATCAGCAGTGAGACTGTATTGCACAATGAAATGCCACCTGCCCTTCCTCTGCACACAGCTATTAGGGTGGACAGTACAAAAACACTATCTTGTATCAGAGTAACAAGCACCCTCAAAACAGTGTAACACTATGCTGGATTTAATACTGTGATTTTTTTGAGCTGTAGCCGATTCATAGAAATTAAGATTCATCAGCAATACGTGACATCAGATAGAGACAGAAACGCTGCTGTGCCAGAACATTAACTATTGCTCCAGCTCCTGAGATGAAGAAGTTACAGTCAATGATTTGATTTCAACTATTGCAAAGAAAAAAAAAAAAAGGCCCCTACCTAAAACCTGTTGCTGCTACCAGCCCTGCAGTCTGAGGGCAGGGAGAGCCTTCCATACTTTTACCTAAAGGTACAGAATCCCTCTTCCAAAACCAACACTGGCAAAAGCCAAAATTCAGCATTATTCTTCTAACCCTCTGCAAGACACCAGAACTATTCTGCCCTTAAGCACAACAGCAAGGCTATGCTAACAGGCTCTGTTTTCTCAAGGTTCTCCTACTTCTATACATCCACCAGTATCAATTGCACTGCCCTTCTCAGATACCAATCAGCGTCATCACTGGTAGTTTACAAACCCAGCACCAGACGCAATCCTATCTAATGGTTTCCTGAGGCCAGGCTCTCGGGCAGCAGAGCACTGTGGCCAGAACCACAAGAGTCACGAGGCTCAGTTCTTTTGCCTGTCCTATTGCACCTCTCCTGCCTCCCAGAAAGATGAGGAGGCAGAACTTCCGACTCCCCATGTGAAACTTTTGTACTGCCTTCCCTGAGAGAGCATGCACACCTTTTCTACCACCTGTCCATCCCACAGACCCTGCACTGCTGTGATATTAACTGTCCCTCCTGAAGTTAAAGGTAAACTCTGCTCTGCCAGCCATAAAACTTCACGTGCTTCATGCCCGTGCCAGTGGCTCTGGCAGAAAAAGCAGCAGTTCACCCCTCTGTTGATTCTACAATCACCCTGGAAGCTTAAGTGGACTGCAGCACACAGTACTTTATATCAGGATTCAGTACATACTACAGTTTTGACCCAATTTACCTTACTAAGCCTGTATCACCTTGTGCAAATCCTCTCCCCACCCTTAGACAGAACCCTCACCCATAAGGCACTTGACTAGCTGCGAGATGAATGCAAACACAAGCTCCTAACATCCCTCCTGGCACTCCCCAAAGAAGGGGCCACAGGCGACACACAGATTCAAAAAAACTCTCTATCAACTGGCACCTTAAAGATGCACATTGCCAGAGACAGCACTCTAGCAGTCCGCGTGCTACAGTCAACCCAGGATTCATCTCAAAAGCCTCCCTGCTCGACCTCAGCCCCGGCTGGCACAGCAAAGTGACAGCCTCCATGAGAGGAGTCAGAAGGGATTTCCCTGCTAGGTTCTGGGTGACTCACAAGTCGGAAAGAATCAGCACAGCCCTGTGTCATGGGTTGAGCTTTCAGAGTTCGGTAGCACCTTCCCCACAAACTACTCTAAACCATCAGCACAGACTCTTCTTTCTCTTCAGGGGTAGGTCTTCTGAAGGGTCAGGGGCTCATCCCACCCTCGGCTAACAAACCCTCCCTTCGATTCATCCACGCTGACAGGGACTCGCTGAGCTGGGATTTTTCTTTTGCGACTGCCGTATGCTGTGCTGCACAGGAGACGTCACGTTAAATAAACACGCAGACCTGGAAAGATCAACTTTGTGCTGAGATGGCAACATCTGTGCCAAAAATCCTAATTCTAGTAGAGGTTCCAGCAAACAACCTTCACATTCCAGGCTTAGCTCTCTTCCCTCAGCTTCTCACTTCCCTGAACTGAAACTGTTGAGACTGATTTTCTGCTAATAATTTGGCTCCGTTCTCTTCCTCTGAAAGACCTCCACACCTCAGCAGGAGCAAGGACAACTATGTCTGTGTTTGCCAACACAGAAAAAACACTAGCTGGGAAGGGGTAGAGAAAGACCTGATAGAGCACAGGCAGAGTAATACCAACTGCAAACCATCACAACCTCCTAATATCTCTTCTGGGACAAAGAATTTGATCTGCCTGTCACACTAAAAAGAGCCCAAGTATAAAGCTGCGAGAGAACCACACGGGAAAAACATCTTCGTTATAAAAAGAACAAACAGGTTCCATGCTTTTTCCCTAAAAGCCACCACTATCACGCAACAGCAGTGAGTTGCTGATAAGGAGAGGAGTTGGCCACATGTAACAGCTCCAGTCACGAGTTTCAAAGGGCAAAGCAGAATCAATCTTACCTCTCAGCCAGGCTGCTTGCTACAGCCTGGTATTAGTATCCTGTTCTTCCTCCCAAGATGGAATAAACACAAAGGCAGAGCAACAGAATGTCCAACGTGATAAGAAAGGGCAGCCAAAGCCATCAGCCAGGCAGCACAATCCCCATGCTCTTCTAATAACTAAGGCCTACAGCATGGATGTGGAGAACTGTCCCGCTCTTGTCAAAATCACCAGCAAAAATTCTGTGGTAACAGGACCAGGACCTGATGGCAAGGATCTGGCTAGGCTTCGTCATCCCCAGCAACACTGCTCCTTGCAGGACACTGTCCAAACCCTTGCCCTGTTTAGTCCAAAATAAAGCCAGTCAGCTGAGCATATCCAAGGGATCACTCACCACACCCTGCCTCCATGGGGCTGTTCACTTTGACCAACCCAAACCTACGCAAAGGGGGTAAAATCACCCCGTAGCCACATAAAAGGAAACCAGTGCCACAGTCCGGGCCTCCCTTTTTCTTCTCGCAGGCAGATCTATTCACCATACACCAGAAAACAAAATAAAATGTTTTTTCCACGCTACAGCTGAAGTCAGGCTGAGTTGGAGGCCCATTCCTCTGCCCAGGCGCTGGACCCCCAGGCTGCGTTGACCTCAATAACTTCCGCAGGCTGGTAGGGTGCTGTGGCAGTGCTGGGGAGGGCTCAGCTGCACCCTCAGTGACAACGGCTGCCTCTCCCCAAGGCGATGCTGCTGCTTGATTTACGGCATCATAACTGTATTAGAGCTCAGTGAAATTTGGGGCTGAAATCACTGGCAACTCTCTGTGCTCTCAAAGCCCAGCTGCATAAAGGTGAATTACACACTACCAGAGCTTCAGCTGTAATTAAAAAAATTGAGAGCTTTCTTCCTTTCTTTCAGAAGAGTTTGCAAATACAAAGTAAGATTGCTCCTTGAAACATTATTTGTGCAAGAAAAAACTGCACTGAACAGATCCCTGCTTAAATACAACTGTTACTTCCATAATTTAAATACTTTAAAAGAAAAAAGAAAAAAACACAGCCTTTTATCCTTCTCTTGCTTTTCAAGATGCCTCTTCAAATCTCACTCTTGGTCTCAACAGCTGCATTTTGCATTTCACCCTCAGAACTCTCAAGACGGGGCTTTTCTACCCATGATAAGGATCTCTCTTTTCTCTAAGTTTCATTCTCACATCTCTTTCTGAACTACACGTAAAAGGCAAGGAACTGCAATGCTAGAAACAACCAAAGCAAAATACCAAAAGCAGAAGTACCAGCAGTGATCCACAACCATCAGAGAACACCAGTTCAGGGTTGCCTTTCAGAAACCAGTATCCTAAGCTTTTTGTTGGTTTGGGGCTTTTTCCCTCTAGAAAACAGGTGCACAGAGAAGCAGGGAGGTGGCGAGGGCAGCAGAGTAACAGTTCGCGGTCAGCTCGTTCTGCACGGGCAAGAGGGCAGTGCCTAGTCGAAAGGCTGAGGGAACCAGAGCGGGAGGAAATCGGCAGGTACCTTCCACCCTCCAGGCCAGGCAAAGGTGCCTCCGAGGCGCTCCCAGGCTGCCAAAGGAGGCACTGAGCTGCCTTCCAGGGGCCGCTTGCGAAGGGCAGGGCACAAACGCAGGGAGCGGCGAGGTCCACCCAGGCCACCGGTAACCTCGGAGCCGACCCCGGCTGCAGCCGCGGACCG